CATCCTGGCTTTCTAATTAATGGCCCATCCTCAACCTCGATTTTCTTTCCAAGGTTCTTGAAAGAGTTGTTGCTTCCCAGCTTCGCTGCTTCCTCGCCTACCACTCCCTTCACAAGACCCTCCAATCGGGTTTCCGTGCTGCTCACCACTCAGATCAAGGTGACAAACGACATTCTGTCCATCTGTGAACCAGGCTCCCTCTGCCTCCTCGTCCTCCTCGACCTCTCTGCTGCCTTCGATACCGTGGACAACTCCTTCCTTCTCCACTGCCTCTCCTCTCACCTCAACCTTCAAGGTTCTGTCCTTGAGTGGTTCAGGTCTCATCTCTCACGCTTCCTACAATTTATCTCCGCCAACTGTTTCTCTTCCAGCCTCCGCACAATCTTGTGTGGTCTTCCCCTCCTCTTCAACCTCTGGATGCTTCCTTTTGGTAACATCAACTGTAGATATGGGAACAACTTCCACATGTACCCAGATGACACTCACCTCTGTCTCTCTGCCTCCTCCATCGATTCCAGGACAACTGACATCCTGACTGACTGTCTGTCAGACATCAATTCCTGGATGAGAGCCAACATTCTACAGCTGAATGTCAGCAAAACCGAGGCTCTCCTGCTAGGCTTGCACCAGCGCCTCAGCACCTCAGGCACTGGCAGCATCACCATCAAGGGATTCACACTCCACCCAACTCCTCACCCCTCAGGCTGCCAAAACCCTCAAACACACATTCGCTACCTTGAGGCTCGACTATGGAAACTCCCTCGTTATCGGCCTCCCAAAATCAGCCCTCCACAAGCTGCAGATCATCCAGAACTCTGTAGCTCATGTCCTCTCCTGCACCAGACTCCGTGACCCCATCATCCCACATGCACTCCAAGAGCTACTTAGTCTGCTCTCCATTTCTCCCCTGTCTAATCCATCCTTTTTCTGGAGTACACTTTATTGCCTTATTGTTCGGCTTTTCCAGGACTCTCTGTAACTTGTTTCTCCTCTCTGATGCTGCATCCTGGTCCCCTTCCCCACTCAAAATTATTTTAACCCTTTCCCCCCAGTACTGGCTAACCTCCCTGCAAGGACGTTGGTCCCAGACCTGTTCAGGTGCAACCCATCCACTTTGTAGAGGCCCCACCTGCCCCAGAACTGGTCCAGGAACCTGATGCCCTCCTTACCGCACCATTTTACCAGCCATGCATTCATGTGTTTTATCCTGCTGTTTTTATACTCACTTGCACGAGACACTAGGAGTAATCCAGAGATCACGATCACCTGGTCTTCAGTTTTCTCCCAAGCATCTGGACCCTCTGTGGTTGTGGTGACCACCACCTGAAACCATCGATCCATTAATTCTTCAGCCTCCCGTATGCTATGTAGTGACTCCAGCCTCTCCTCGAGCTCAGAAACCCTGAGCTCAGAAACTCTGAGCTCGAGCTTGAGCACTTCCTATACATGCATTTGACCAGGACACACGAAGCATCACGAGGCACACAATGTGCATGCACCAGGTTTTAACTGCCCTGCCATATTTTCAGACATTTTTTATATCAATTATTTAATAATTATGCACCTCCTTCCCCCCTCTGCACCAAATTTCCACTCTCACCAAATTCCTGCACAGAATTTCCACTATGTTCCACCTCACTCCATTATCTCCCCACGTTGCTGGGCTCTCTGCTCTTGTAATAATAATATAATAATAATGATAATAATATGAGTTCCAAAGCCCGACGTGTGGCATGAACCCAACCTTCTGACTGAGAGGCGAGAGTGCTGCCAACCGCGCCAGGCTGAAACACATTTTGGGATTATTTCAAAATCTTTGCTCATCAGCAAGAATATTGCTCTGGAAATACCGAGGGAAATCCATCCCAGGTTTGCAGAGGAGTAACTTGCTCTCCTACAGGGTGTGCGTTGTGTACGCTGTCATGCTCTGTAAATACTGTTTACTGTTATTTTTCACTGATTTACACCAAATAAAACGTATAGATAAGTGACCGTATTGAGTGTGAAATTCAATAGAACTTACATTCTGCGGAACAAGTCCTTGTTTACTCTGATTATAATAATAATAATCCTTGCATTTGATATAGCGCTTTTCACGTCGGGAGGACGCCCCAAAGCGCTTCACAGAACACACTGTAAAGTGAATTGACTGTATATTTGTGGGCGAACGCGGCAGCCAATTGCACACAGCAATGTCCCACAAACAGTCATAGATTGAGTGACCAATTTATTATTGTTTTGGTTTTGGAGGGATTATTATTAGGCTCTGTGTGGAGTAAGGAAACTTGCCCGAGGTTTCGCCCTCTGCCTGGAATTGAACTCAGGTCTCTCGCTTGCAAAGCGAGTGCTCTAACCACTGAGCTACAGGACTCCATTATATTAATATTTCATATTAATATTTCATATCCAATTAATATTTCATATTTCAGCTAAAAAATGAGTATTGATCTTGATATGTGTTTATTATGACATTTCACATCGAATTGCCCAGATTGCAGGTCAACATATTACATGAAAACAACCATCTTTGGGAGCAAAGCAAGGGACTGTGGGATGGAGTTCCAAAGGGTGGGGGAAGAGAGGCTGACTACCAATGGTGTGGCGAGCCGGGGGCAAACGTGGATCAGGCTTGCTGAGCGGAGAGAGCAGACAGATTGATATGGGGTTAGCAGCTCACAGAGGTAGGGAGAACACCAGCAATATTCCAAAATAACCAGATATTGAACAAAGTTAAGCTGTAGGTGTTGGGGATATTTTGATGAATATTGTCCAGGATTCAATGAGAATAGTCTTTGAAATGATGCCATGTTAGAATACAATACAAAATCACATTTCTACAGCACCTTTCACGTCGGTACGACGTCCCAAGGCCTGAACAGTCAGGGATTTTGGGCCCGAGCAGGGAGTGGGGGTTAGGATCAGGTGGAACACTTTTTGGGAATAATAATCTGGGGAGGGTGGAGGGCAGGGAGGGTTGCCGAAGTTGCGGTTAAAGAGGAGGGCTTTGAGACGCGCCTTGAAGGAGGCAAGGGAGGGAGTGAGGCGAAGGGAATGTAGGATGGAGTTCCAAAAGGTGGGGGCAGAAAGACTGATTGCCGATGGTGGGGCGAGTGAGGCGGGTAACGTGGAGCAGGCCAGAGCCTGCTAAGCGGAGGAAGTGGACAGATTTGTAAGGGTCACAAGTCATAGAGATAGGGAGGGGCAAGGCCATGGAGGGCCTGAAGGCAAGGACGAGAATTTTGACCTCTATCCTTTGGGGGATGGGGAGTCAGTGGACCTGGGTGAGGGTGGGTGTCATCTTCATAATGTGGAAGTTGACACCATGTCTGCAAATGATATCACCACCAAGAGGGAACATATAGATATTGAAGAGGAGGGGATCAAGACCAGAGCTCTGAGGAACACCACATGAGACGGTGCGGGGGCTAGAGGAGAAGGCATTTGTGGAGATGAAGTGGAGATGGTGTGAGAGGTACGATCTGAACCATTGAAGGACAGAACCATGAAGGTTGAGGTGAGAGGAGAGGCGGTGGATGAGGATAGATTGGTCAACGGTATCAAAGGCAGCAAAGAGATCAAGGAGGACGAGGAGGAAGAGGGAGCCCTTGGTCACAGATAGACAAATTGTCATTTGACACTTTGACCAAAGCTGTTTCTGTGCTGTGGGCGGCACAGAAACCCGAACCAGCAGACTGGAGGTGCTTCATTGTGACACATTGGATTAATGCTCCCCCACAAATCTAGCATCTCTAACAATACATTTATTCAGCAACTCTCATACCATTTTGGCCACATAAAATAGAAGTCTTATATTTCTATCGTAGGTCATAAATATATCACAGTATTTAACATTAAAAAGCATTGTGCCACATCTCTCTGAGGGACCCGGCCTCATAGGGCACACAGGACTGACTGGAGACATGTGGCTCATGTGCCACTGGGGGCAAAGCTGCTCTTTAATGTTTTGTGGGAGGTTTGGGGAAACTTCCCACAAGTGTTGGGAATGGAGAGAAAATGATCTGTTGTCAGGAAAGGTGTCTGAGCTACAACAACAACAACTTGGATTTATATAGTGCCCTCCATGCCGGACGGCGTCTCAGAGCGCTTTACAGTAACAGATCCCGGGACCATCCCTGTGAGAGTTGTGGTCATGTAGCTGAGTAACAAACAGAGAAGGTCAGTTTGGTTAATGGACAGGAAATTGAACTGGCAATTCGGTCGTTCATTGATGGCTCAGTCAAATGAAGGATTGCAGGTATAGAACAACAATCCAGATACTCTGACAAGACAGCGGGAGAGCAATAATGGTGGGGGTTTGGGTTGAAAATGTGGAAAATGATGAACAGCGTGCAAATTAATTGCACAAAAAGTCACTCCTGGGTTAAGAAGGTGAAAAGTTACTGGAGTGGAAATATCCACTTGTACTGAATGTGACAGCTCTTTGTTCACATCTTGTTATATGAATGTGTGGTTCAGATTTGTGTCCCCTCCTCTCAGGCCTTTGCCATTTTCATTGTAGTAGATTGTGTATCAGAAAATGAACATTTATTTTCTTAAGAACAATGACAACAGATTGCGTTTATATATAGCTTTCATTGTCGGGAGGCATCCAGAGGGGCTGGGGTGGGGTGGGCTCGAGGGGGGCGGAGGGGCGAAGGGTGAAGGGGTTGAGGGAGTGAGGCATGAGAGGGAGGGGGTGAAGGACGAGGGGATGTGAGCCATTACGTATTCTCATGCTTCAGGTGGATAAAATTTCCAAGGATATCTTACCTTCCTCACCCTATTCTTACTGAGAAATATAAATATGTTAATAATTTTGTGCTGTGACTGATTACAGAAAGCAAAATAATAGCCAGAGCAGCTAAAATTTACATCTGTGGTGTGGAGAATGCTTGTTAGATCTTTTAAACCTCTGGATTAAGAATGAAAGAAATTGACAATTTTTTAAATTACAAATTGGGCTTCTCTTATTTATTCTAATGACATTTGTTGTGTTACAGATTATCGGACAGGCCCCTGCTTTACATCGGTAAACAATCAGATGTGCCAAGGACAGCTGACTGGCATCGTCTGCACAAAAACCCTTTGTTGTGCCACAGTTGGAAGAGCCTGGGGCCATCCCTGTGAGATTTGTCCTGCTCAGCCCCAGCCCTGCCGGCGTGGCTTTATTCCCAATATCCGAACAGGAGCTTGTCAAGGTAACAGATGATATTCATATACAGACTTGTTGAAAACTTAACAGAGCATTAACTTTAATTGAATTTAATTATTTTTGGTTGATGTTTCCAAAAGTGTTTCCTTATTTCTGTACTGATCTGTGGGAGGTTACCGTGTGGGTCACTGACTGAGTGGCAGGAACCGGGGTTGCCAACATGTTCGGCTATGTGAATAATAATAATAATGTGTAGACAACTATGCATTGATGAATGTTGAATGAATGTCCAATGGGATTAAATGTTCTTTGATCTGTACAGAATTAATAACAGTTGGCCAATTCAGAGGTGTTAATTTAAATGCTTCTATGTGTAATGTTTGAAATCATTCAGGTTATGAGACATTTGTTTTCATTCATAATATTTCTGACAATTTACAGCAAAACAAATTGAGCTGTTAAAATAATTAATTTTGTCAATACATTTTTCCAAAATGCAATTCTATTTCCTCAAAGTAATTTTTGTTCCTAATATGATATTATTAGTTCCAAAAAGTTGAAAGCCTATCACTCTCCAGCTATCGATGGGTAAAATATGCTTATTTTGTGCAGAAAGTTACTGCCCAAGCCCTGGTCTCTGCGAGTTGACCTCGGTCCCAGGCTCAGGAGGGTTACAATCAGTGTGGGTGAGACTGTGACTGAGATACACTGCTGAGATACACTGATATTCACATCAGTTATCTGGTACCTGCTGACATGGCCATTCACCACCTCAGCATTGACCCAAATAGCAGAATATCACTACTGAAAAGAACACTGGCATGCTGTTGTGTGTTCCATTGGAAATAACTTTTCACTACATCACACAGTATTCTTGAGGTCACAAAAGTGATGATGGAGAAAGCTTTACTGTCCAGTTAATTTCCAGTTGTGGAATCCTGTAGCTTAGTGGTTAGAGCACTTACCTCGCAAGTGAGAAACCTGGGTTCGTTTCCTGGCAGGGAGAAATGTTGGGCTAGTTTCCTTACTCCTCTGTTTACCTAGCAGTAGATAGAATCCGGTTCTTAGATGATTGGCGGATTGCTTTTCTGGGGATAATAATTCCTTTTTAAAAAAATAATAAATTGGTCACTTCAATCCACGACTGTTTGTGGGACGCTGCTGTGCACAATTCGCTACTGCGTTTCGCCCATAAAATATACAGTCATTCACTTTGCAGTTTATTCTGTGAAGCGCTTTGAGATGTTTCGAAGAGATGATAAGGCGCTATATCAAATGCAAGGATTATTATTTTTATTTCAACTTTGAAAAAATCTGATTCTGCTATATTTTCACAGCAGCCATCAATCTGTCAACAACGCCCCTGTTATTATCCAGTAATATACCACACCAGTCAATAGTATAACACATCCAGTCAGTATATCACATCTTCTGGCAAAACAATATTCTGTCTAATGTAACTGGATTCAGAAAAGAGCAGCACAGACACGATGGGCTGAATGGTCTTCTTTGCTGTAAATATCTGTGGTACCAGGAATATGATTTAATACAAGACTTTTGTAATCTGGCAAAGTAAAAAAAAACTTTGATTGTTTATTACAGAAATGTTAAGATTTTGGATAAACATGAGATACCAAAAGTGGACAAAACAATCAATGTATGCACCAGCTATTCCAGATCAATTCTATATTATCTCAACGGGAACCTTTATGTCAGAATGTGAGGCCCACCCAGCAAACCCACATTGATTAATCCCAACTCCATCCCAGCTTTTGGAAAGACATTTCAGATGGATGTTAAAGATCCCATGGAACATTTTGGCTTTAAGGCTCGTTCTCCGGCTGTATAAATTCTTTCATTGTCTGAGTGTCTGGGTTTAAAGATTTCCGACACGCATTCATTACATTACTTTTCTAAATGCATTTGAATTTAGAAGATTGTATGTTTATTTAAAACAATTGGATGGATTCAGTGTTTACAATATAACGCACAGAATAACAATGTATTAATTAGTAGAAATCAGGTTGTTTTATTTGTATTTATTTACAGACAAAAGTATAACATTTTCCATCCCTAAATATAGGAAATAATTTACAAGAAAGTAATATCTCATCACCATCACTAAACTAACCACTGATCACCATCACTAAACTAACCCACTGATCACCATCACTAAAGTAACCCACTGATCACCATCACTAAACTAACCATTAAATTAAATAACCGCTGAATTTAACCAGTAATTTGTCAAGAAACTGTAGAAATCATATTTATATTTTTAAACTTCTAAACTAAAAATACTGGCAAATTATGGATTTGTTTTATTGTGAACTATATTTATATAGGTACAAATATTAAACTAAAGGACTCTACAAAGCCTCAGTACTTACAGTAAATAAAATCTGTCACTCACTTTTGGCTGTTTGTGGGACATTGTTGTATACAACCTGGCTGTCATATTTCTGTCTACAAAATACCCAGTCACAAGGTTAAATCATGTTTTGTGTTTTAAGATGTCTCCTGAAATGAAAAGATCTGTATCAATTAGGATTATTACTATTATCCATGAAGCTCCAGCTGGAAGTTTGGATTATTTGTTTCTGTGTTTGGTTCATCAGAAACTTCATCACTATTGTTGGTTAAGTTATTCTCAAATAGGTCCAAATACTCTTCCATCATGTCCCATTTGCTATCAGGATGGACTGGATAGGTTAGGCTTCTTTTGCTTGGGAAGAGACATATAAGGGGAGAGCTGATAGACATGCTTAAAAATATAAGAAGGTTAGTTAAGGTTGACATCAATAGGCTGTTTCCACTGGTTAGAAAGTCCATAACCAGGGGACACAAGTATAAGATGGCGACTAGGGGATACAGTAGAGAATTTAGAATGAACTACTTCACGCAGAGGGTAGTGAGATTGTGTACTCGGTGTCTGAACAGATAGTGCAGAAGCATTCAAGAGGAAGCAAGACCCTTCACATGAGGGAGAGGGCAAAAGAAGGGAATGGGAGGGAGTAAGTTGTGGGTGAAGACTCGTGGAGTGTAAACATTGGCACGGACTGGTTGGTTTGAGTGGCCTCTGTACATTCTAAGAATGTAAATTATTTGTAAATGTCTCCCCTCACTCTCTCCATTCTATAAATCTTCCTTTTTTATTAATTCATATTTCTTTCAGTTTGTTCTGTTAGTTTCAGACGTCAGCTTGTATTAGTTGGTAGCTCTCAGTCAGAGGTATTATTATTGCATTGTTTAAAATAATTCTTACATTTGATACAGCATCGTATGTCGTCAAAACATCTTAAAGAACTTCACAGGATTGATTGTAAAGTGAAGTGATTGTGTGTATGTAAGAAAACACACAAGCTAGTTTATCATAGAATTATAGAATCATAGAATTATACAGCAGAGAAGGAGGACATTCAGCCCATCGTGTCTGTGACAGCTCTTTGAAAAGAGCTTCCAAATCAACCCCACTCCCCCGCGCTCTCCCCATAGCCCTGCAAACTTGTTCTCCCCCAAAAACTATCTTCATGCATAGTAATGTCCCACAAACAGCCATAAAGTGAATAATCAATCTTATTTTGGGTATTGTTGACGAGGACCCTGGCAAAAACTCCCTTCTTTTTTCAAAATGTTCCATGGGATCTTTAACATCCACCTGAACAGGCAGATGTATCTCAGTTTAATGTCTTATTCAAAGGACTTCACCTTCAACAATACAGCACAGTATTGCATTAGAGTATCAGCATCAACTATATGAGATCCAAGTTCCGATGTGGCTCAGAGGCGAGAGTACTACCAACTGAGCCAGGCTGACATATTGTTGGTCAGAACTTCGGGAGAAACTCCCTTCTTTTTTCGAATAGTGCCACACAATCTTAACATCTACCTGACCAGGCAGAAGGAACCTTGGTATAATGACTCATCTGAAGGACAGCTCACTGCAGCTCACCTGAGCGCTGCATTGGAGTGCCAGTCTAGACTGGGGTCAGTTCAAAGTTCTGATGTGGGGCTTGAAGAGTGTTACCAACTGACATTTAAGGTTGGCATACAAGTAGACTTTAAAATCCGAACATGATGTCGGGAAACATCTCTCTGTTCACACAGAGCTTGTGGAGATACGGAATGCTCTGCTCAAGAAAATCGTGAAAGGCAAGGATTGGGATTAAAATATCTCACAGGATCTAATAATAATAATAATCCTTGCATTTGATACAGCGCTTTATCACATTTTCGAGATGTTTCAAAGCGTTTCACAGAATATACTGTAAAGTGAATTGACTGTTTATTTTGTGAGCAAAATTGGTGGAACAGGCTCAATGGCCTGAATGGCCTCCCCTTGTTCCTATTATTCTTTCTTCCTAAAATCTGCTTATTCTGTTTGCCAGATGTGGATGAATGCCAGGCCATCCCAGGAATGTGCCAAGGGGGAAATTGTATAAACACTGTAGGCTCCTTCGAATGCAAATGCCCAGCTGGACATAGGTTTAAGGAAACAACTCAGAAATGTGAAGGTAAGAGACAAGTACATTCCAGATAGCTGTGAATTATTAATTGGTTACAATCGACTGTTTTTTGAGCACTGAGGTATACTAACTGGGTTCTCACACACACGGGAAACAAATTATAAATCTTTCTGTCAGTGATTTATTTTATCTACATCCAAATCCCGTGAAAAAATCTGGGACAAAACATATGTTTGTCAAATTATAAATTGCTTTTTCCTGGGGAGTCGTCCTCTGAAGAATAACAAATGGAGAGGTTATTTTATTGTATAGTAATGAGAATTGATTTGCCTTTAATTATAGATTGCTACTCACTGGAGGGCATGGTTTATCTGAACAAATGGGTCATGAAACACTTATTCACATAAATGACAAGTTTGGATAAATGATTGCAAATGTACTTGAGCAGAGCTGTTTCCTTAGCCACCTGTTTACTAGTGTATGTTTAAGATCAGTATTCTGAGAGCTGCACTCCGTTGGTTAAATGGTGTTTAGATAAGAATTTGACACTCTTTGAGGCTCACTCCTCCTTGTTTCTTCCCCATGTCCATACACACATAAACATACACACGCATAAACACACATACGACCAAACACACACACACATACACACAGAAGTGCAGATGCTATCGGCCAGCTTTAGTATAGAGCACTCGTCACACAAAGCAATAGAAGAAGCTTAGTTACACGTTTGTTGGTGTAATCACGCTTAACCACTAATTAGATTAAAGTGTGTAGACAATTCTGGCCCCTGCTAATATTTTTTATGAACTTCTCAAATGGTTTTCATTTATTGTGCTGTTCATTGGTCCTTGCAATGTTTTGTGCAAAAAAATATTTTCTCAAATGTGGTTTGTCAAAACTTTCTCACTGAAATAAATGAAAACCATTTGAGATGTCCATATGTCTATATTTCATTTACTTTTCATATGAAAACTGGGTATCAACGAAGCAAGTGTTGGTGGCTGAACACTAAAGGTACCAAAAAATTATTTGAGAACCACAGGATTAGACAGTGTCATTTCATTCCTCCACCAGGATGTGTCACTGTGTCACTATCTCACTATTCACCATCTCACTGTCTCACTACCTCATGACTCATTGTCTCACTATCCCATTATCTCACTTTCTCACTGTCTCACTATCCTATCCATCTGTCTCACTATCTCACTGTCTCACTATCTCACTGTGTTACTTTCTCACTGTCTCACTGACTCACTATTCCTCTGTCTCACTATCTCACAGTTTAACTTTCTCACTGTCTCACTTTATCACTATCTTCACTGTATCACCATCTCACTGTCTCACTATCTCACTGTCTGACTATCTCACGCTCTCACAATCTCACTTTCACACTATCTCCCTGTCTCAGTATCTCATATCTCACTATAATAACTGTCACTGTCTTATGATCTCACTGTCTCCCTCTCTCACAATCTCATTGTCTCACCCTCTCAGTGCCTCACTATCTCATTGTCTCACTGTCTTACTATATACCATCACTCACTACCACCCAGTTCGCTCCCTCTGCTCAGCGGGCTCCAGCCTGCTACACATCCCCTGCCTCACTTGCCCCACTATCGGAGGGCGGGCCTTCTGCCACTCTGCCCCCACCCTCTGGAATTCCGTCCCGCAGTCCCTCCATCTCACCCCCTCCCTCGCCACCTTCAAGACCCACCTCAAGACCCTGCTCTTCGACCATGCTTTCGATTGCCCTACTTCCCTCCCTGCCCTCCACCTCCCCGACCCCGACCCTCAGCTCGGGTTTGTAACTCTGTCTTGGGACGTCCTCCATGAAAAGTGCTTTACACATGGAATTTTGTTGTTGTTGTTATTGCATCTCATTGTCTCACTGTCTCACTATCTCAGTATTTCACTGTCTCACTGTGTCTCACCAAGATATATGATTGTTGGTCTGGGTAGTTTAGAAGGTTGTGCTTTGTGAGTGACTAATATACTACATAGAGATCAATGTGCTTATTCTTCAGTCATGAGCTCCCGATTGTTACAGAATCTGCTGTGATGGTCAGAAGCCAGACAGCATTATACAAGAGCACAACTTTTATATTCTGAGCTGACAAAGTGAAGGATTATCATTAATTATTATTATTGTTATTATCGTTATTATTATAATAAACTCAGATTGTTAGTAAAGTGTAATGTGAAGTACAATAAATTGCTACAACATCAATATTTAGCATCACTTATGTTTAATATAATATACTTTTTTCTTGATGTCACTATTGTAGAAAATTGCAAAATGTTAATGAGTCAGCACTGAGCAGTAGAAAACAGTTCCAACCCCCAGTCCTTCTGTATTGTATATCTATTCATCCCTGGGGACAGTCCCATAAATCTATGCTGTACTTACTCTTCTTTCTTCAATGCTATTATATCTTCAAGTAATGTAATGATCAGAACTGTAGTCAGGATCCAAATATGTCTTAAGCTGCTATTAATATGTTGTGAACGGTTTGGGAATTTATAATGGTAACTGATTGGCAAGACTGAAATTGCAATGAAACAACAACAAGATTACATTTGTATAGCGCCTTTCATGTCAGGAGGACGTCCCAAGGTGCTGGATAGTGTACAATATTTCAAACCCAAGCTGGGGTCGGGGGGAGAAGGGAGGGGAAGGGGGTTGGCCGATGGCATGGTCGAGGAGGAGGGTCTTGAGGCGGGACTTGAAGGAGACTAAAGAAGGGGCGAGGCGGAGTGATTGGGGGATGGAATTCCAGAGGTTGGGGGCAGAGTGGCTGAAGGAGCCAATGGAGTCGGGCGAGAGTGGGGGAGATGGAGTTTGGTGCGGGAGAGGACACGGGCTGCAGAGTTAGTTCTGGATTATCTGCAGCTGTGGAGGGAGGAGTTGGGAAGGCCGACACGCAGGGAGTTTGCATAGTCGAGCCTGGAGGTGATGAAGGCGTGAACAAGAGTTTCAGCGCCTGAGGGGAGAGGTAGTGGCGCAGTCGGGTGATGTTACGGAGGTGAGAGAAGGCAGAGCGGGTCATGGCTTGGATGTGGGGAAGAAAAGACAGTTGAGGGTCAAACAAGACACCTCGGTTCCTGACTGGCGGTGAGTTGGTGAGTTGTAGTGAGCAATCATGGAGGTTGATGCTGCCAGAGCCTGAGGTGCGGAGGCGCTGGTGTGAGCCAATCAGGAGGACCTCAGTCTTGTTCACATTGAACTGTAGGAAATTTGCCCTCATCCAGGACTTGATGTCCGACAGACAGTCTGTCAGGACAGCAGTGGCCCTGGAGTTGAGGGTGAGGGCAGACAGACAGTCTGTCAGGACAGCACTGGCCCTGGAGTTGAGGGTGAGGGCAGACAGACAGTCTGTCAGGACAGCAGTGGCCCTGGAGTTGAGGGTGGGGCAGACAGACAGTCTGTCAGGACAGCAGTGGCCCTGGAGTTGAGGGTGGGGGCAGACAGACAGTCTGTCAGGTCAGCAGTGGCCCTGGAGTTGAGGGTGGGGGCAGAAAGATAGAGTTGGGTGTCATTCGCATACATATGGAAGTTGACCCCATGTCTGCGGATGATGTCACGAAGGGGAGTGTGTAGATATTAAAGAGGAGACAAGGACAGAGCCCTGGGGGACACCAGATGTGACAGTGGAGGTTAGAGGAGAAACCGTTAGAGGCAACAAAGTGGAGTCAGTGAGAGAGATAGGAATCGAACCAGACAAGGGCAGGTCCGTGAAGATGAATTAAAGAGGAGAGGCGGTGTATGAGGATGGAGTGGTCGACAGTGTCAAAGGCGGCAGAGAGGTCGAGGAGGACAAGGAGGCAGAGGGAGCCCTGATCACAGATGTTCAGAATGTCATTAGTGACTGTCACGGGGCTGTTTCCGTGCCGTGGGCAGCGCAGAGCCGGATTGGAGGGGTTCAAAGAGGGAATGGCGAGAGAGAAAGGAGTGGAGCTTGGACCCCACGACTCATTCCAGGACCTAGGAGAGGAATGAGAGGTTAGAGATGGGGCGGTAGCTGGAGCGGAAGGATAGGTCCAGGGAAGGTTTTTTCAGGATGGGGATGATAACGGCTGTTTTTAAGGGGATAGGAACTGAACCGGTGGACAAGAAGAGGTTGATGACGTTGGACAGGAAGGGGGCCAGAAAGTGGAGCTGGGAGATGAGGAATCAGCAAACTTTTGAGTCACTGGTTAGAAATCAGCTTTTCCAGAAATATAGAAATAGTCTGATGACTTAATATTAGCTTGAAAACAATAATTCTAATGAAACCATAAACTTTATTTGAAATGGTAGAGTTAATATTAGAATAGTGTTTCACTAGGGGTCAGAAAAAGGAAAACAAAGATTGATTCAAAGAAGAAATAATTTGTTACTTTGAGCATTGCCACTTCTAGTAATGTTGGATATTTAGTATGTGACCTGTCTCAATTTGAAAATAAAATAAATGTACAAAGCATGAGATGATCACCTGAGTCATTTGTTTGAAATCAGTTTTCAGCAAAGGAGAGAGAAACAGAGAATTGTCGTAATGACAAACATTCCTCCCATCAGCTCCTCAGTAAACATTTGTATACTGCCTTTCAGCTTGAGACTTCCTCCCGGCATGGAAGATGTTACACAAATGTAATTTTATATTGCATTCATCACGGGAATAATATCTCCACGTTGAGAATTGGGAGAGGCAGCAGCTTACATTTCACGTGTGTTTATTGCTATGCAGATATCGATGAGTGTGCCACAATCCCTGGGATCTGCGAGGGAGGTCAATGTTCCAACACAATCGGAGGTTACTTTTGCAAATGTCTTGAAGGGTACCATTCCACTGCAGATGGTTCACAATGTATTGGTAAGTGGCCCAGGGTGTGGAAAGCAAACTAGCATCAGTAAAAGATGAAGGCTGGATTGAAGCAGAAAAGCTATTTGTTAGTTATGAGCTTTCAATGGCAACGTTTCTTTATCACTGATTTTTTTTGCAAGTTTTTAAAGATGTTTTTAATGAAAAAAGTTCACATTTAAAATGTGGTTAGTTGATTTTGTGACAGATATTAATTTTGAAGGCCTATCACTATGTGTCAGCCTGGCTCAGTGCATTGTTCCCTCTGGGTCAGAAGGTTGTGAATTAAAGCTCCACATTGGGATTTGGAATCACGTCGTCTAAACTGATACTCGGTTTACTAATGCCATGTTCCGGATGAGATGTTAAACCGATCCTGTCTGTCTAGGTGGACATTAAAGATCCCATGTCACTGTTCGAAAAGAGAAGGGGATTACTCCCAGTGTCCTGGCCAACAATTCCGCATATAAAATTGGTCACTCACTCCATGGCTGTTTGTGGGACATTGCTGTGCGCAAACTGGATGCCACATTTTGCCCACAAAACACACAGTCACTCCACAGTAAATCCTGAAAACACTTTGAGATATCTCAACAATGTGATAAGGCTCTATAGCAAATGCAGCGATTATTATTGCTATTATTGTGACAATTATTGATTTTGATTGTCTGTCACTTAATTCGATTGCACAATCCTGTCTCAGAGGCCTTTGGTCCATTTGTGGGCCTGTCCGACAAGATAGTCTGGGATGGGGCAGGATGCCATGCCCTCCAATAGAACAGAGGCCTCTGTGATCTGAGCAACTGCCCAACCACTGCCAAGCACCTGCATCAGTGACAGGATAGGGCGGGAGGCCTCTGCAATGCAAGACACCATCTTATAGGACAAGCTGTCCGACCAATTTTACATTGTAAGTACTTACAAAGGTTCTAGAATGCAAAGAGTTATGTGTTAAGTGGAGTGACAATCAAGCAAAGTCCTTTATTAATATGTTGCATGGGAAGTGGCTAGGATATCGACAGAATTGCATCTTAATTTTCGTAGTGACAAATTAAGCCAGGGTTTAGTTATTTGGAGTTTACTGTATGTGTTTTGGTTGCTTATTTTGTTTCTGTCTAATGCCTTGGGACGTCCTCCTGACATGAAAGGTGCTATACAAATGTAATTTTTTGTCTTTGTCATTATCTTCCTGTTACCCGGTTTACCTGCATGGAGGATGCTATGAGTGCACGTTGTTGATTGTCTGCTATAATTTATTGTGTCTATGTAGCTATCTGAGGTTCCAACCTATTGATTACTGGTCAGTTTAGGATGATTGTACTTGATCATCTACACTTCAAATCTAATTTGTGGAATGAGAATGTTTGCACACATAGAAACCAAAAAGATTTTTCATTACTGAGATTAATGAGGGAAAATTGCAAGGAAGTAAGATTATATGATGCCCTGTTGACACTCTGTTTGTGTCATTTGGTTTAAAAGACAGGTGTTTGTTCACAGATTCAGCCAGTGCAATAACACATTCAGTGCCAGGAGACAATTAAGAACATCCAGTCATACTTTTGTATAAATAAGGCCTGGTGTTTATCACAAAACGATGGACCCTTGACTCCTATAAAGACACTTAGCCAATCCCCCTGGTGAATAATCTGGTCAGATGCTTGTGGGGAGAATGTCATAAGCAATGAGGAAAGCACTGTTTGCAAGGAGGGTTGTGAATATGCCAGGAATATTTAGTGTTGATCCCCAGTGCAGAAGAAAGATCCAGAGATTCGCTTTTTTATTGTTTGTCTTAAGAGTTAAATACATGGAAACGTATTAGTTTATCATTGAGCTGTTTTTAAGATTGTTCATGACTCCACTTGATGCACTGACATTAGATATTAGTTAGAGCTAATTGTTACTGCATTATCCACATCCAGAGATTGAGACTGTCTGTTATTCCTTTCTTCACCCAGTGGTGATATTATTAGTGGCTGCTTTAGAGTAACGATGCTTTGCTTTTTTTTGTACAGCTGGGTGACATATGCAGAAAACCCATCAACATTGCTGAGGAGTATCCAAACCAAACTGAGAATTGTACATGGAAACCTCCTATTATTGAAATGGAGTGTGCACTTTCTCCCTCTGGAGGGACACACTCTGACTTAATTCCAGAGAGTATTAAGTGAGGATTGGCAAAAGAGCTGGTTACTGAGAGCCGGTTACTGAGAGCTGGTTACTGAGAGCCAGGCTAGTTACTGATAGCCAGGCTGGTTACTGATAGCCAGGCTGGTTACTCAGAGCCAGGCTAGTTACTGAGACTCTGGCCGGTTACTGAGAGTCAGGTTGATTACTGTGAGTCAGGCTGGTTACTGAAAGCCAGGTTGGTCTCTTGAGAGTCAAGCTGGTTACTGAGAGCCAGGCCGTTTACTGAGGTGCAGGCTGGTCACTGAGAAACACGCTGGTCACTGAGAAACACGCTGGTCACTGAGAAACACGCTGGTCACTGAGAAACACGCTGGTCACTGAGAAACACGCTGGTCACTGAGAAACACGCTGGTCACTGAGAAACACGCTGGTCACTGAGAAACACGCTGGTCACTGAGAAACACGCTGGTCACTGAGAAACACGCTGGTCACTGAGAAACACGCTGGTCACTGAGAAACACGCTGGTCACTGAGAAACACGCTGGTCACTGAGAAACACGCTGGTCACTGAGAAACACGCTGGTCACTGAGAAACACGCTGGTCACTGAGAAACACGCTGGTCACTGAGAAACACGCTGGTCACTGAGAAACACGCTGGTCACTGAGAAACACGCTGGTCACTGAGAAACACGCTGGTCACTGAGAAACACGCTGGTCACTGAGAAACACGCTGGTCACTGAGAAACACGCTGGTCACTGAGAAACACGCTGGTCACTGAGAAACACGCTGGTCACTGAGAAACACGCTGGTCACTGAGAAACACGCTGGTCACTGAGAAACACGCTGGTCACTGAGAAACACGCTGGTCACTGAGAAACACGCTGGTCAGCTGGTCACTGAGAAACACGCTGGTCACTGAGAAACACGCTGGTCACTGAGAAACACGCTGGTCACTGAGAAACACGCTGGTCACTGAGAAACACGCTGGTCACTGAGAAACACGCTGGTCACTGAGAAACACGCTGGTCACTGAGAAACACGCTGGTCACTGAGAAACACGCTGGTCACTGAGAAACACGCTGGTCACTGAGAAACACGCTGGTCACTGAGAAACACGCTGGTCACTGAGAAACACGCTGGTCACTGAGAAACACGCTGGTCACTGAGAAACACGCTGGTCACTGAGAAACACGCTGGTCACTGAGAAACACGCTGGTCACTGAGAAACACGCTGGTCACTGAGAAACACGCTGGTCACTGAGAAACACGCTGGTCACTGAGAAACACGCTGGTCACTGAGAAACACGCTGGTCACTGAGAAACACGCTGGTCACTGAGAAACACGCTGGTCACTGAGAAACACGTTGGTTACTGAGAAACACGCTGGTTACTGAGAAACACGCTGGTTACTGAGAGTCTGGCCGGTTACTAAGAGCCAGGCTGGTTACTCAGAGTTACTCAGAGCCAGGCTGGTTACTGACAACCAGGCTGGTCACTAAGTGCCATGCTAGTTACTGAGAGCCAGGATGGTTACTGTGAGCTGATTACTGAGAGCCAGGCTGGTTACTGAGAGCTTGTTATTGAGAGCCAGGCTGGTTACTGAGGTCTGGTTACTGAGAGCCAGGCTGGTCACTGAGAGCTGGTTACTGAGAGCCAGGCTGGTCACTGAGAGCTGGTTACTGAGAGCCAGGCTGGTCACTGAGAACCAGGCTGGTTACCGAGAGCCAGGCTAGTTACTGAGAGTCAGGCTGGTTACTGAGAGCCAGGCTGGTTACTGAGTGTCAAGCTGTTTATTGAGAGCCAGGCCGGTTACTGAGGGCTGGTTACTGAGGGCTGGTTACTGAGAGCTGGTTACTGAGAGCCAGGCTGGTCACTGAGAACCAGGCAGGTTACTGAGAGCCAAGCTGGTTACTGAGAGCCAGGCTAGTTACTGAGAGCCAGGCTAGTTACTGAGAGCCAGGCTGGTTACTGAGAGCCAGGCCGGTTACTGAGAGCTGGTTAATGAGAGCCAGGCTGGTTACTGAGACCCAGGCTGGTTACTGAGACCCAGGCTGGTTACTGAATGCTGGTTACTGAGAGTCAAACTGGTTCCTGAAAGCTGGTTACTGAGAGTCAGGCTAGTTACTGAGGGCTGGTTACTGATAGCCAGGCTAGTTACTCAGAGCCAAGCTAGTTCCTGATAGCTGGTCACTGAGAGCTGGTTACTGAGAGCCAGGCCGGTTACTGAGAGTCTGATTACTGAGAGTCAGACTGGTTACTGAAAGCCAGGCTGGTCACTGAGAACCAGGCAGGTTACCGAGAGCCAGGCTAGTTACTGAGAGTCAGGCTGGTTACTGAGAGTCAGGCTGGTTACTGAGAGTCAGGCTGGTTACTGAGAGTCAGGCTGGTTACTGAGAACCAGGCAGGTTACCGAGAGCCAGGCTAGTTACTGAGAGTCAGGCTGGTTACTGAGATTCAGGCTGGTTACTGAGAGTCAGGCTGGTCACTGAGAGTCAGGCCGGTTACTGAGAGTCAGGCCGATTACTGAGAGTCAGGCCAGTTACCAAGAGCTTGCTGTTGGGAGCCAGGCTGGTTACTGAGAGCTGGTTACTGAAAGACAGGCTGGTCACTGAGAACCAGGCTTGTTACTGAAGGCCAGGCTGGTTACTGAGAGCCAGGCTGGTTACTGAGATGCAGGCTAGTCACTGAGAGCCAGGCTGGTTACTGAGGTCTGGTTACTCAGAGCCAGGCTGGTTACTGAGTGTCAAGCTGTTTATTGAGAGCCAGGCCGGTTACTAAAGAGCTTGTTGTTGGGAGCCAGGCTGGTTACTGAGGACTGGCTACTGAGAGCTGGTTACTGAGAGCCAGGCTGGTCACTGAGAGCCAGGCCGGTTACTAAGA